TCATTCTCGTGAACAAAACATAACTTAACCTTTTTTTAAAATTCATAATATTATATTTCAGCATTCTGTTGTATTTATGTTTCACTCGTTCAACTCATTTCAGTTTCACTGCAACCCAACGTTTCAATTAAACAGTATTTGAATTTTCCGTTTCCAACTCAGAGAAGTTGGAAACTAAATTAGCTATAAGAACTTTACGTTCCACATCAAACAAACAAAAAATTAGTGGCCTCTAGTCCGCAATCGAACTATACCGACAGAGCGACCGCCGCTTCAGGGCGAAGTTAGTGCCAAGTTTAGCGGATAGAGGGTGTCACGTGGTCAGCGCAACTGATCCCCACGGCCGTTAATCTCGGTTATCTAGACCGGAGCCGCTATTTCCTTGAAACAGCTCATGAATTATCCTCACGAGGCTGAGTGGACCCCGTTCCAGACTCACTAGTTCTCAAAAAAAAACCTAAAAGCGCCGGGAACAGAACCCGGGACCTCTGGATCGGTAAGCAGTAGACAACAGAGAAGGTGGAAACTAAATAAGCTATAAGAACTTTATGTTCCACATCAAACAAACAAAAAATAAGTGGCCTCTAGTCCGCAATCGAACTATACCGACAGAGCGACCGCCGCTTCAGGGCGAAGTTAGTGCCAAGTTTAGCGGATAGAGGGTGTCACGTGGTCAGCGCAACTGATCCCCACGGCCGTTAATCTCGGTTATCTAGACCGGAGCCGCTATTTCCTTGAAACAGCTCATGAATTATCCTCACGAGGCTGAGTGGACCCCGTTCCAGACTCACTAGTTCTCAAAAAAAAACCTAAAAGCGCCGGGAACAGAACCCGGGACCTCTGGATCGGTAAGCAGTAGACAACAGAGAAGGTGGAAACTAAATAAGCTATAAGAACTTTATGTTCCACATCAAACAAACAAAAAATAAGTGGCCTCTAGTCCGCAATCGAACTATACCGACAGAGCGACCGCCGCTTCAGGGCGAAGTTAGTGCCAAGTTTAGCGGATAGAGGGTGTCACGTGGTCAGCGCAACTGATCCCCACGGCCGTTAATCTCGGTTATCTAGACCGGAGCCGCTATTTCCTTGAAATAGCTCCTGAATTATCCTCACGAGGGTCAGTGGACCCCGGTCCAGACACACTAGTTCTCAGAAAAATCTAGTAGCGCCGGGAATAAAACCCGGGACCTCTGGATCGGTAAGCACTAGACAACAGGGGCCACATGAGTACCTTTAAAGGAAGTGACAAGATGGCTCATCTGAACTTATAATAGCAATGAGGCGCTGTCCTGAACCTCCCCAACTCGACTACAACCCCGATGCTGTCCGCCTCACTCTACAGAGGGTCCGACCCCCAGGTATGGCATGGATTTATGACTACATTCTGATCACCATAATCATCATAAATCAACCCAATCATTATCATCAATACCTGAACCTCTCACTGGTTCTATTCCCCCCAAGTTAAAAACAATCCAAAAAATCACCATCTTCTGGGATGTGATGCCGTGTATTTTGGTAGACAACTACCAGCTTTAGGAAGCACCTGCCGCTTCTACCTTCAGGATATAAAGGGAGGTCTGACAGGAAATTCTCACGACCATATAAGGCTCAAGAAGTGAAGGGTCTTGTATACTTGTACGTCAGGCCCGAAACTCCGTTTGTTACAGAGGTAAGAAGTTAGTTACAGGTCAATATATTGTGTATACTTGTATATGTACAGTACAACGTGCTTTAATGTTAAGTCACAAGGAATTTGCCCGCAGAGTTTATTTGTGGGTTTCATAGGTAAGATAAATTTGTCCCTATGCTTAACTAATTAAGCACTACGCCATCAAGGCGTATGGGGGAGACGGTTTCAGAGTGACCTCCAAATTAACATGAATTATTTCGCTAAACGCCACAACGGACAGATGTTTTTAAAGAAGATACTATGTAGATTCTAGAGGGTTCTGACGATGGTGTACAATACTAAGAATTACTGGGTTTTTTGTACTCTGTCCATTATCCGGTATTCGTATAACGTTTCGGGAACTGAGTCTGTTTCCGTCCTCAGGTGAAGGGGAAAAAGACACCTATTCAGATGGGTCCCTTAGAAAGAGGTTACTTTGTGACACGTATTAGTGAATGACACGGTCAGTCGTGTGACTGTGTGGAAACAGCTCTGTGGAAATCAATGTTTTGCTATGACGGGCCACAAACATTTGAGGAAATTCGATAATTTCGCTTAAACCTGCGACTTTTTTCTTATCTGCTTAGTGGGGGGTGGAGTTCAACTGGGTCCACTCGGCACGGAGACCACTGATTGGCCTACTGTACCTGCCCCGGGTGATTATGATGATGGAGAATTTGGTGCAATGAAGATTGGCAGGGGAAACCGAAGTACTCGGAGAAAACCCACCCAAGCATCACTTTGCCCACCACAAATCCCACTTGACCAGACCCGCGATCGAACCAGGCCGCCGCGGTCGGAAGCCAGCGACTAACCGCTTGAGCTATGGCGCGGCCCTAACCTGCGACTTTAATTGCTTTCCGGCCAACTGATTGTGATAAGAGGTACCTGCGCATGTACATTTCGTGTGGTTAATAAATTATAAATAGACTTTATCTACGAAATTTGTACACAACATTCATTTGTTTGTTAGAAATTCCAAACGAGACAATGATATGAATGTTGCAACTATCGCGTACTGGAAGTCTAAACTAGCGGAAACCACATTCGACAACACAACATAAAGTGACATTCTGATAGTCCTTTTCGTGACGCTAAGATTGAAACTAACAGCTCGGCTCTGTGAGCCTCGAAACAGCACTGGCCGATAGTGTTGGCCAGGTAGGTCCCCAGCTGTATGAGTATATTCGTGAGCACTATTCCGTTGGGGCACGCGGTAGCGTAGTTGGTTGAGGCGCTATGCTACAAGCCGGAAGGTTGCGGGGGATCGAATACCGGTGAGGTGGATTTTTTCAGTTTACGTAATTCTTCCAGTAGTATTATGGCCCTAGGGTCGGCTCAGCTTCTATATAACAGAAATAAGTACCAGGAATATTCCTGAGGAGTAGAGAGCGGTCGGCGCCGACAACCTTACCGCCATCTCTGAGCCGACTGTCTAGAAAATGTGGGAACCTCAACATCTTACAACCCTATGGGCCTCCACGGCCTGTTACCTTACTATTCCGTTAGATATACCGATACATATATATTTATATGCTGCAAGCACTCTTCGACGCCTGGAGCTGAAATGAAACTCTGACAGTAATGCTACGTATTTCACACGCAGATGGAGCATGGGCTCATTAAATTAGGGCTTCTCTGTAACGGGTAGCCCTGTTCCAAGTTCTTTACATAAATTCTCATCTCTCCTTCCTTCTTATAAATTATTGCCTTTAAGTTCTTTGTCGAAGTATGGGAAATTTTGTTATTTCTTGCGCCGAATAAAAGTTCGGCTTCCCGCGGTGGTAATCGCTTCGGCCAGATTTGTTGCAGCACATCTGCCCCCCCCCCTATGCTTAGCACACCTGCCCCCCTTCCTTATACCTCTAAGATGTTTATTCACGCTCCACCGTAGTTACCACGTCCACACTCCACATCCTCAGTGTTTCATTTTGGGTATGTGACCATAGGATTCTTCTCCACGGGCCATATTATTGTTTAGAGCAGTAGCATCCTGACTCTTACATGACTTCCCCTCTTAGCTTTCACGAAATCCCCATACGCCCCAGCTTTCATTGAAATAAATGTAACCTTGCATTCGTATGCACGGGGGAGAGCCAGTAAATAGGTCACAAATGGATATAAAACGCAAAACACGTTATACTCGAAAAAAAAAAAACATACAAATTCCATGGTTCTAGTCCGCAAGCGAACTATACCGACCGAGCCACCGCCCCTTGTCAGCGAAGTTAGTGCCAACTTTAGCGGATAGAGGGTGTCACGTGTTCAGCGCAATGGATCCCCACGGTCGTTATCTCGGTTCTCCAGACCGGAGCCGCTATTTCCTTGAAATAGTTCCTCAGTTATCCTCACGAGGCTCAGTGGACCCCGTTTCAGAACCACTAATAATCAGAAAATCTGGTGCCGCCGGGAATCGAACCCGGGACATCTGTACCCAGGAACTCTGACCACTGGGCCACAGAGGCGCTCTTCATATTCGAAAGCGAAAACAAGAAACAAACAAAACATTCGTTTCTTGATATATCCTCCACCAACAGACACACTTGTCCCATCGCTTTACCAGTCCGTCGAATCCCGCAATATCAAAGTGTTTTGGCTGTTCTCTCAGCCACTTCTGCAGCTCCGTTTCAACCTCTTCGTCATCAGCGAAAGGTTTGCCACGCACTTGTGAACGGCTGTACGCGATAAATATTTTTCAGCGTAAACAGCAAACATTTCTTTATGTATATCCTTTTCGTTAAGTCCTTTTGCCCACAATAAAATGTACAACCCCGAAAAAAATTATTGTGACGAAACCATGGATGACGCCGAGATCCACATAGGCTTGTAGTGCCAGTAAATAATAAGTAAAGCTATCCCTGTAACAGGACGTGAAGGCCCATAGGGTTGTGAGACGCTGAGGGTCCCACATTATCTACACAATCGGCTCAAAGATGGCGGTAAGATTGTCAGCCTTACGCGCCGGCCGCGCTTTACTCCCCAGGAAAATTGTTTAATTAATTCCTGCACTCATTTCTGTTAGAGGCTGAGTAAACCCCAGGGCCTAGTGGGGCTGGAAGGATTAGGCCAACTGAAAAAAATATTCAATGACCTCATCGGGATGTGAGCCCGCGACCTTCCGACTTGTAGCATAGTGCCTCAACCAAATATGCTACGCGAAATAATAATAATAACAAATGTTTCTATGTGAAAAATACATGCATCATCACCACACCTATAGGTTATAGACTTCTCCTGACGAACCTGTGCTCATCTGTTTACTTAGCGGGCCATTCAAGGTTTACGATTCTAAAGTTGAAATCTCTGAAAGAAAGGGTCTGAAACTTACCTCTCCTAAATTGACGAAACCGTGTTTACTTGCAACTGCATCCGCTACCTGCAACCCTCCTTCTATATGGACAGCCCACTGACGAGAGAAATGCTGAGGCTGTTCTGCATTAGCCCTGCAAACCAAAGTTGTCACCATGATCACCAGGAGGAACAACGTTCGAGCACGGAGCACAGTTACCGCCCCCCTCTCACTTGAGGCTGACCAAAATGACAGTCTCATCTTCCGAACACTTGCGCACACTTCACTATTTAAAATACGCCAAATGAAATATCCTTTTAACGACAATTCGAAAATACGGGCTGATTTAAAATAGGTTAAAACTGCCTACTATTAATTTCGACTTGTACAACGATGTCGCTGTGTTTTATTGACAGTTCAATTTATGTTATTTTCGACAAAATGTTCAACATCCAATCCACACTTAGGAACTTGACATTTTCTATACGAAATAATCATTAAAAGACTTTCGCAGACGCACACTATGTTTACAACGTTACACGACGATTATTTGATACATCATTGTACATCATTGTAGCGTACTACAGCTACACGGTTCTACACAATTTTCCAACAGACTGTTCATTAAAAACATTTTATACTACTTTACCCTAACAGTTCATTCATCTATTAACAACAAACGAAGTTACAACCATTTTCATCCTCACACTGTTACACACAACACACGATAAAAATTAAAAACCAAACGAAAAACAGGAAATTTCACGCTAAAGAATACTAGTTAAAGTTGGATTTGTTACACGGAACATTTTACTATTATGATAATGTCAGTACGTGTCTATGGCCAGCAGCAGAACACATTGTCTCTCGTAACGCTCCGCACACGGCGCTGCCTTGGGCCACTCTGACAACCACGCTATGCACGGGCTGCAGAGGCTCTGCCGGTCCCCGTCCGGCACGCCGACACACAACCACGAGAGCATATCCGTAGCAGGCTTACCAACAACATTCATCCAAACTTTCTTCACAGCGGTTGGCATAAACCAACGCTGTTTCAAATGAGGATGACTTTTGGCAAATGTTCAAACAAGACAGAAATGAAGAATATATGAAGAGCTATTACAATTAATGCGTAAGTGAAAACATGTTAGACGAGAGTCGAGCTTGGGTTTGTTGCTTTGTAAGTCAGTCTCAACATGCCGAGTCTAGAATTTTGTTCTGTTGTTTGGTCCTGACATATACATGACCGATTAACAGAAACTCACCTTACTTTCACAAGTATTAGCTTAAGAATTAATTAACTGATTAATTAGTTCGATGGATTAAATGTTTAATCAGCAATATTATAATTATTTTTTATTGCTAGTGGGGTTGACTAAGTTCCTTGTACTGCGGCCACTTCTGGCCTATTGTACCAGCCCCAGATGATAGGTGACGGTAATTGTGGAGCAATTCGTGGAATGAAGTTTGGCAGGGGAAACCGAAGTACTCGGAGAAAACCTGCCCCAGCGAAACTTTGTCCACCGCAAATCCCACTAGACCAGACCCCGGGATCCAACCCGGGCCGCCGCGGTGGGAAGCAAGAGACTAACCGCTTGAGCTATGGTGCGGCCAATAATATAATTAAAGAGAACAATCCAATCCATTATGAGGCACGATTTTAACAAGCCGTATCATGGCCGGATTTAAACTTGCGGGGAAATCAAAATGTGAAGGCCCCTATCAGTAAAAACAAATGTAGGTTATGACAATTCTTTGTTATTCTTCTACTTCTTATTTCTTACAACTAAAAATACAAACTAACTTTGTGATTTTAGAGAAGCTGTATCTCTAAAGCCGATCACGGTGGCCGCGCGGTCTAAGGCACGAATTGTCTTCGCCCGCTCAAACAATGGGATCGTGTGTTCGAATTCCACTTGAGGCATGGATGTTTGTGTGCGTTTATTCTGTGTGCAGGTAGCGGCCTTGCGACGGGCTGACCACTCGTCCTAGGAGTCCTACTGACTGTGTAAAAAATCAAGACACTGAAAAGGCGGTCAAGGCCAAGAAAGGGCTGTAGATCCACAGATAGATAGATAGATCTCTACAATGAATGGATTGTACTTCTATTATGTGGAGGCCCTGGGGCGATCGCCCTAGTTGCTCTCTCTTAAATTCGACCATCAACCCCGTGGAGTGGGGTTCTTCTTCAGAAACTAATGACCGCTCAGAACAGTAAAAATATTTCCTGCCGAACATGAAAGTATATTTCTGTGTTCAAATAAACTCCAGAAACAAGAAACCACTCATGTTCGTCTAGTGCCGAGTTCAAGAACGAGTGGAACAATTCCTCCATAACTCCATATATATTCATGGCGTATGGGCGGATCGAAGTGACCAGAAGACGAGGAAGAAGACGTAAGAAGATGCTGGATGACCTTGGTGACAGAAGAGGATATTCTCATTTGAAGGAGAAAGCTCTAGATCGCATCAAATGGAGGAACTGTTTTGGAAGAGACTGTGGACCTGTCGTCTTGACAGATTACTGATGAATGAATGTTAAGCACAAGGACAACCTTACCTTAACTGACTAGTTACATGACTTACTCCGCTCTTGCGAACATCATTAGCTAACACCATGCGATTTAATCAGCTTGTTACTCAAAGTTTAGTTCAATTTAATTCTGTAGGTTGGTGTGTGTGTATGTGTTTGTGTGTACGTGTCGCAGTTCTACAGAATCAATCCCTTTCGCCGCGCTCAGAGCTCGGTCTACTTAACCGGACCCCAGTTCTACATCCTGATTTTATGTAAGCCTTAGGGGTACTCGCCAATTAAATATTCCACGAAATTCTCCATGGATTGAATACAAAACAAGATGCTGAGCGATTTATAATACAGCTGTACCCTTTGCTATCATGAAATGATTAACACAAGAAAGGCTGAATATAAAAGTGGGAGTTTCGTAACGTGAAACGAATTGAATAATTTTGCATTTTAATATAATTTAGACAGCGTCTCATTTTTATTATAAAAAGAGATACAAGTAACACACGATTCGGAATTTACGTACAACGTTTCTTGTGAAATCCTTTCATAGAACAAAACAATTTCTGTCAAGTAACAGTACACGTTATGTCCACGGTAACAGGATTAAAGGTAAAGATAAGGTAAAGTTGTCTGTGTGCTTAAAGGATTAAGCAACATGCCATGAAGACATAAGACGGAGCTGATGTACAACCGCGCAAATTTTTCATCTCGGTAGAAGACGAAGGGTTGGAAGGGGGGTCAGCTTTACACTCCGGCCGCTGTATCAGTGGATATGAGGTTGGGTGGGCACCAAAGACGGTATTGACGCTGTGGAGAAGGGAAAAATCTCTTTTCCGCGTTTCGAATGGGCAGCAGGAATAGAAGAGGAAAATTCAGTGGAGTATACACAGTTTCTAAAATGCGTTCTTCACTGAACAAAGCTGTTGTTTCAAAGCTGATCACAGTGCAGATAGTCAGAAATCATATTTCCACTCATTTCATATGAAATCCCTTTTACAGAAATGACGTAGATTTTAATGAGACATATTTTGTGGAACGTACAAATTCTGTTTGTACGACGATCCATTTCTTATACAACGTATGGATCGGAAGTTCCAGTGCCAATCCATGCAAAGTAATGCTTCTATTATAATGACAAGAACTGAACTCAAAATCGTTCCATCACATTTAATGTTCATTCCCAATGCCAAATTTAATCTACATCGGTCAAGAAATTCAGGGGCCGAAGCAAGCGACAATCTACGGGCTGGACGACCAATGGAGTCGGAGTTCGAGTCCTTGTAGGGTCAAGAATTTTCTCTTCTCCACGTCTAGACCGACTGTGTGACCCACAAACCTCCTAGCCAATGGGTACCAGGGGTAAAGCTGACCACTCCCCTCCAACTAGTGCCGAGGACAAGAAAATGTGGATCTATACATCCGCTTCCCCATACGCCTTCATGGCGTAGCGCTTAATTAAGCAAAGGGGCGACTTTACCTTTACCACTATTAGAAAGATTTATTGGGGTTAAATGAGAAGGAAAATATTGTGAGCCTCCGCATGCGACAGTGACACAGAAAAGCTTTAAAGTGCCAGACACGATAAATACGTGTAAGAGTGAGCCACTATACGTTAAATATGAACTGAGTGGACATTCTTCGCATCACGACTCAAAATCTAACTATGAGTGTCATTATATAGGGAAAACTCCGCGTGACGTGTATTTCAGTTGCCACACTGATCATTAGTGACTGATTAACTCTCGGGTTAATGTTTATTTATGTCATTTCGTACGTAAGAATTCCAATAACGCATATTAACTGCCAAATAACGATTATTCTTCAAATCGGCTTCAAAACTATGAAGACACTGGTGATTCAAACGGCGTTTACCATTTAATATTTCAGTTATATTTTTCACGAGAAATTAAAGAAAATTTTTTTTCCTCCTACATCACAATCTTGCTATTTGAAACTGGTAAATATTTATGAATCTAACGAATTAAATTCAATTATTCAAACGCCGTATGAAATATAAACTGGAGTAATGAAGTCGATTGAGTCTTCCTCCTCCCTAAAAAAGCAGTGAGTTCCTCGAAATATGTTTCAAGGTTCAGAAGTTTAACTGGTTTTTAATCTACTCTCGGTTCTTTCTACGTCTCGTTCACATCTGGGAGTATATTTATAAGTCATTTCACTAATCCTATCTCCTTTTATTACGTTTAGATGTTGAAAAAGGTTATTTTCTGGTGTGAAAAGTCGCGTAGTCCGGCAAAATTTTACCGACGTTTCGGAGAAACGTGCTGCTTCTCTCTTCAGAGGCCAAAAATAAGCCAAGACTGCTTAGCAGCAAAAGGGGCGAGTTGGATTTGAGGTTTTCTTTTTAAAAGGGTTATTATGCAGAATATTCTCGTCTGGAACGTGATTATGTGTACTCCTGTAGAAGCTTACCGACGTTTCGAAGTAACACACTTCAGGACTGAAGAGTAATCCAAGCAGCAAGCATAACAGCTTTCCCTTCCTCCGAAACGTCAGTAAACTTCTATCAGACTACACGTCGACACATCCCAGATGATAGGGAACTTCACAGTCACTGAACCTCGCGTCCAAAATGTTTACATGTTGTCCCTAACTGACAACATTTATGTCGCCAAATAAAAGTATGTTTGTACTTTGAAGGTCGCTTCTTGTTTTAATTGAGTGCGTAAGGAAGGTATCGCAGCCCCGCCCCTCCCCATCAGTACCCCCATGTCAACCCCTTCATCATTTGCATGTAACAAGATACTAATTGCCTGACTGATTTTTTTTAATTTCATGTGGGAGGGGGAGGAGTTGTTTGACGATATCCTCACTATCTAGCTATACTAGGCCGCTCCATAGCTCAAGCGGTTGGTCGCTGGCTTCCCACCGCGGCGGCCCGGGTTAGATCCCGGGTCTGGTCAAGTGGGATTTGTGGTGGACAATGTGGCGCTGGGGCAGGTTTTCTCCGAGTACTTCGGTTTCCCCTGCCAATCTTCATTCCACCAATTGCTCCACAATCACCCTCACCTATCATCTGGGGCTGGTACAATAGGCCAGAAGTGGCCGCAGTACAAGGGACTTAGTCCCACCGCACTAGCAATAAAAAGAAAAGCTATACTATACAATAACGAATTTCGGATGACTGGTGGAAAATGAACTGTAAAGGATGTAGAAGTAAGGGGCCTGGATGGCTCAGTCGGTAAAATGATGGATTACGGGCTGGAAGGCCGGGGTTCGATTTCTGGCAGGAGTGTGACATTTCTCTCTACCGCACAGGGTCCAGACCGGCTCTGGGGCCCACTCAGCCTCCTATGCAATGGGACACTTTTCCTGGGGGAAAAGCGGCCGGATCGTGAACCTGATCACTCACCTCCATCGAGTTCCGAGGTACAAAA